TTCTTGCTTTTTGGTTCTTTGAAGTTCCTTCTTTATGTGATTTCATTGGATTATAAGCAAGAAAATGGAGATTTGGAAGTGGGTTTTTGTTGGGGTTATTTGGTATACTGGTCTTGTTTTGAGTATCGATGCTGTGAAGTTGGGCAGGATTCAGCGAACTGAGAGGATATCAGGTTGGTTTTTCTTTAAATTATTCCTTGTTAAAGTTTATAAATTTTTATTGAGTTTATTTTGTTTTATGTTATTTGGGGTCTAATATAGTTCTCAGTTGATTAGTAGATAGATTTGTGCTCATTTTTTGTCTTTTAACTGTAATGTAGGTCTAAATTATTTGAAGTTATTTTTTTTTGCTAGTTATATTACATAGTTAGGTTGGTGGGTTTTTGGGATTTACTTAAATTTAAGTAATAGTTAGGTTGGTGGATGTTTGAGATTTACTTAAATTTAAGTAAAAATTGAAGATTTGCTGACTTCAGTTTGATTGCGGAATGTCTACCAATTTAGTTCATGTATACCAGTAATAACAGTGATATCATCTCTTTGTTGATGTATTGAAGAATTGAGGCTTAACATTTATTGTTGAAACTAACTAAAATGTACTGTAGTAATCTTTCTTTGTTGATGTAGCAATCACGAGAAGAGTTAAGGAAGAGATAAGTGCTACTGAAGCAGGATAGATGGAAAGGGATGATATTAGGATTGTTAGCTATTCTAGTAAAATTCAACTTCTCTAGGGCTTATTTTGAGCTTCACCTAGGTGAACATATCGGGTTGAGATGGTTTAAGCTTGTGCTTCAATTGATTGTATGCTAATAAAGACTTGGTCAAGAAAAAGCATGATTGAATTTTTTCAGGTTTCTAATGTCTCGTGTTTCTATATTGGGGAAACAACTTCGCGTGAAGATGGTCACTAATATGTCTAGCACCTGGTACATTTCTATTCATGATGACATAGGTGGCCATAACATACGATGAAAGAGCTTTCCTAACTCTTTGTTTCTGTTTGTTCTATGTCCTTATATTATTACATGCACTATGAAGAGGAATTGCCCAAGTCTGGAAAGGTAGATCACATTGGAGGGTTAATTTGTCTCAAGTTAGAGATTGAAAAGTTAAAAATGACAATGCTCAAGCCATTGTAACTGTCCAAGTATTGTATATCAGACACACATGACATCTTGTAATAGGGACTTGTGGAAAACAATGTAAAAGATAATAAAAACAATTGGCAATATCAGATGTGATTTGGCAAATGTGGGGGCAAGCAAAAGGGTAAAATGAAGGTTTTGTTTTTGCTGATTTATATGAAACATTAAGTTTTCTCTTACGAATAGTGGATTTGTTGAATCAGAATTTGATAATGTGTAGATTTCAGAAACTACAAAAGTTGTTTGGAGTTCAATGAATGAGAGATCCTTAAGTATGACTGGGCTACACAACATGCAGGTAGTGCTTGAGATGTTTTGGAAGATGATCCTGTTGGAAGGCTGAAAGTTTTTGTCTATTAACTTCCAAGCAAATACAATAAGAAGATTCTGTAAAAGGACCCAAGATGCCTCACCCACATGTTCGTAGCTGAGATTTTTATGCATCGGTTCCTGTTATCTAGCCCTGTATGAACATTCAATCCCAAGGAAGGTGATTGGTTTTATACCCCTGTATTTACAACTTGTGATTTGACTCCAAATGGCCTTCCTTTGCCTTTCAAATCACCACGAATGATAAGAAGTGCTATATAACTTATTTCTTCAAATTGGCTTTATTGGAATCAAACTGAAGGTGTTGACCACTTTTTGGTTGTGCCACACGACTTTGGTGCATGCTTCCACTATCAAGTGAGTAAACCTTTTCCTTTTTATTTACCTTCGCCTGTTTCCTTTAGATTCTGTTGACAAATTTTCTTAGTGCATTCTGATTTTTGAATCAAGTGACCTGAATGTGTGGTTTCCTGAAGAGCTTTTGAGGTTGCTATCTTTCTGGTATATCTAATTACTGATATATATTAGTAATAAAGTGTTGCATTCTGGCAGTTTCTTTTTATTTCCATCAACTCTTAATTTATGTTCCTCCATTCTTTATCCTTTTTGCAGGAAGAGAAGGCTATCGAAAAAGGAATTCTTCCCTTGCTCCAACGTGCCACCTTGGTGCAAACTTTTGGAGAAAGAAATCGTGTTTTCTTAAAAGATGGCTCCATTACAGGTCCTCAATATGCTCCCCCACAAAAAATGCAAACCCACCTGATTCCTGGAAAACACCTCGGTCAATTTTCATTTACTTCAGAGGATTGTTTTATGATGCAGGAAATGACCCAGAAGGTTGCTACTATGCAAGGTAATTCTCACCTGGTTCTCACATTTTTAAGAAAGTGATTACATGTTCAATTACTTAAACACTTTTCCATAGAATGTGAGGCTTAAGTATATTTTCAAACAAAATATCAACAGAAATGGAACCTTTATGGTATGAGTTATGAAACTAGAATCATGACCCTTTAATATTTTTCAATTAGAATGAAAGAGGTCAAATAGAATATTTGGACTTCTTCATTCAATTGTCAAGCTAATTGGAAGAGAGAATAGATTTCTTATTTTAGCAACGATCCTATGTGTATTAGAGGCTTAAGTGGAGATCACTGATCAATTTGTTTCATATGTTTACATAGGTGCACGAGCAACAGTCTGGGAGAGCTTCAAGGACAATCCACTTTTTGACATTTCCACAGAGTACCCAACAACGTATTATGAGACATGTAACGAGCTGTTTTCTGTTTGTGCCCCCTCGGCTGGGTTCCATGGAGTCCGAGATTGGTTGAAGCAGTGATATTTGGTTGTATCCCCGTTATTATAGTTGACGACATTGTTTTACCCTTTGCTGATGCAATCCCATGGGAAGAAATTGGGGTGTTTGTAGACGAGAAAGATGTTCCAAATTTGGACACCACACTCACTTCCATTCCACCTGAAGTGATATTGAGGAAGCAGAGACTGCTTGCAAACCCTTCAATGAAGTAGGCAATGCTATTCCCACAACCTGCTCAAGCAGGAGATGCTTTCCATCAAGTTTTGAATGGACTTGCTTGAAAATTGCCTCATGATAGAACTGTTTACCTGAAGTTGGGCGAGAAGATCTTAAACTGGACTGCAGGCCCAGTCGGTGACCTGAAATCTTGGCAGCAGCTTTAACTTGATGCTTCTTGAAGAAATTCTTAGCAGCTTGCCCCTTAGCCCTGCCAACAAAGTTGGTTTAATCAAGGTGGCTATTTCACAGAAAACATAAATCATGATTTTGCATTCAATGTGTCATAATATTTAAGGGAGTTGCTATTAGTTGTAATCTACCATGGGTGAAGAAACTTCAAATAGTGAACTGTTATGTTTTAATCCCCTTTATGGATGACTTTATTGTAGCATATAATTATCTCATGTTGTGACCAACTTTTAAACCTCGGCTAAGTTGGTCTAGAAATTGTTTTGTGTTCTGTTTCTAGTGACTTGGGGATTCACTAATATCACTCCAGCTTTGAAACACTGAAAATTTGCAAAGCCTTTGCCTATCTAGCTAGAATCTCTTGGATAAACCCATTGTTTTAATCATCGAGAGGATGACTATCGTTGAATAGGTTATCTATCCAAATTGCTGAAATTTTTCTGTATTTTGAAGGTGCAAAATTCCACTAGTGCAAGGCAGAAACTTATTAGTAAATGGTAGTCACATGTTCAAACCTTTGGGAAGTTTAGTGCTCTAACTCATCATTTTGATATTCAGAATTCCTTCTTTGAGTGTCCAGAAAGCGATGTCTATTGCCTATCAAGAAAAGAAAACGGGGGGAAAGCAACAAATTTAAAGTCTCTTGATTCAAGCAGCATCTCTTTATTACTATTTAGCATCTCTTCGTTGCTTTGTACCCGTGACAGGTACCAAATTCTTACGTGTACATGTAACTATGGTTTGTGAAAGCGATTTTGCCTGCCGTTCAAATAGCAAGACTTGCATGTTCTTACGCCGGGGTTGAGTATAGAGTCGATGCCGGAATAAGCGACTCCCAGAGCGGCTTCTTGTGATGAAATTAAGACAACACGACAATAAAATTTTACAAGCTCTCCAAAAACTTATACAGGTAACATTTACGAGCTCCTTTTGTATACTAAAACTAAAACCAGCACATTTACATGCTTGTATTTTATTATAATTGAGAGCCAGGGGGTTGAAATTGGATGTGCGGGCAGTGCCTTTCAGGTTCTCCCATTGTCCATAATGTTTTGAGTTCACCTCGTTGGCCTTCCCAGCGTCAGAAACGTACCTGCATCGATCCTTGATTAAAGAATTAATCTCATGCGAATTAATTATGCAGACAAACAAGAATGGCAAGTTAAGGAGGCCATTTCTGTAATTTTCGTAAGCGAAAAATAATTACGGAAGTTCAGTGCTCAAACATCATATTGATATTCAGAATTCCTTCTTTGAGTGTCCAGAAAGCGATGTCTATTGTCAATCAAGAAAAGAAAAGGGGGGGAAAAGCAACTAATTTAAAGTCTCTTTCTTACTATTTAGCATCTCTTCCTTGCTTTGTACCCATGACAGGTACCAAATTCTTGCAGCATCTCTTTCTTACTAGTTTGCATCTCTTCGTTGCTTTCTACCCATGACAGGTATCAAATTCTTACTTGTACATGTAACCTGGTTTGCAAAAGCTGGTAATGCAAGCTTTCCTCTATCTGCACCTCTTATTGCTACTATTTTTGGTGGGTTTTAACGCTAGTCGTGGTATCGAAGCTTCAGAATTGTGGTGGCTGTGCTTTTTTCAGAATTGCAGAAGGCTTCAGAATTGTTCATTGTCTTCCTCCATCTGCACCTCTTCTTTTCTCATAAGAGTCTTTAATTTTCGCTGTTCATTTTAAGAGATTTTTTCAAAGATATCCCCATTTACTTTTCCATCTCACAACATAGTTTTTTCAAGGGTTCATCGAGAGAACTAGTTTCCGCAGTTGAGGAAATTAAAGATGACAATGCTGAAAAAATTGCCCGAAGAAGTCTTAAATTTATGGAACAATTGGGAGATTCGAGGAATGGTTTTGCTTAGTCTCTTGCTACAAACCATCCTCATCATATTTGGGTCTCGGCGAAAGACCAATGCCAGAATCTGGATTAGGATTCTCGTTTGGTCTGCATACCTATCAGCAGACGTGGTGGCAACTGTTGCCCTGGGTACTCTAGCCAGGAGCCAAGGAGATTCATCAGGTGACAGTTCAGAGAAAGTAAACAATTCCATCCAGGCATTTTGGGCGCCTTTTCTACTCCTGCACCTTGGTGGCCCAGACACAATCACTGCATACTCGATTGAAGATAACGAGTTGTGGTTAAGACATTTACTTGGTTTTGTATTCCAAGTCGGGGTGGCTTTTTATGTCTTCTCAAGGTCCTGGGATAGCGGTATCCTCTCATTCATAGCGATCCCAATGTTCGCTGTTGGCATTGCAAAGTACGCAGAGAGGACTTGGGTGCTCTGGTCTTCATGCTCCAAGAGTTTGAAAAACTCTTCTCTCTCAGAATTTTGGGGTTTTTATCGTCGTACGAGAATATCAGAAACTCCTCCACGAGACCTCCTGGAAAATTGTCTTCTTCAAGCTTATGTTTTTTCTTATATATCCAAGTTTGTGATGCAGGATCTTGCCTTCAAGGTGGTAGAGGCTGAGCTTGGATTGATATATGATATGCTTTATACTAAAGCGCCTCTGATTTACTCCCGTGGCGGAATCATTCTTCGCTGTATCAGCTCTCTGCTCTCTGTTACTGCGTTTATTACCTTCCAGGTCAAGATTGACAAGCATGACTACTCAAGGACCGACATTGCAATCACGTATTTATTGTTTGCGGCCGCTGTTTTTCTCGAGTTTTATGCTTTTTTATGCCTTGTTTTGTCTGACTGGACAATGATTTGGTTGATTGATAAAGTAGGGAACGACCAGACAGGTGCAACTTATTCTCTGATATGGAAGTTACCTAGAGGCGAGAGGTGGTCGAGATCCATATCACAGTATAACCTGAGAAGCTCTTCCATTGAAAGAGAGCCACCTAGATGCTTGAAATTTCTGGGAATCGATGACATGATGAGGCAGATGCATGTGAATCGGAAAGATTTGAATGGTAAACTAGAAGATCTTATTTTCAAACATCTTCGAGAGAAAGCTCAGACGATTAAGCAAGATTTGAATGTCTGTGATAAGAATCACAGAAGTAAAATAATAGGTCAGAGGGGAGATGGTGTGCTAGAAAGAGAGGGACTGTTACAGGACTACAAGTGGAGCACGACTGAAGTAGAATTCAGTCGGAGCATTCTTGTCTGGCATCTCGCAACAGAGATTTGTTATCGTGCTGATATTAAAGACGGAAGCAATGTCTCCACAGAAAATGAAACAAGCAGATGCCTATCCGAATACATGATGTATCTTTTGGTGATAAGACCAAATATGCTCTCTAAAGGATCCGGTGATGATGAGGCATATCAAGAAACCTTGCGAGAGTTGCGGGATCCAAAAGGTCATTATGAAGAGGGATATCAACGTACCTTGCGAGCATTGTGGCGTCAAAAAGATGGTGGTCCTGATGATGAGGCATATCAACGTAGCTTGCTAGACTTGCGCAACAGTGAACCACGTGGTTGTAACGAAGGATTGCTCCAAAGTCGCTGGAAAACAAAAAAGTCAGTGCTAATCGGTGTGGCTGTGCTCGCCAGGCAATTGCTTTTATTGGAACCTGAGAAGCGATGGGGGACGATAAATGAAGTTTGGATAGAAATGGTTGCATATGCAGCAGCTCAGTGTCCCTGGAAAGAACATACTCATCAATTGAGAAGAGGTGGAGAGCTACTCACTCATGTCTCCCTTCTCATGCTACATCTTGGCTTGAGCGCACAGTACGAATATAATACATATGAAGACGTGTCGTTTGAATTGCAAGGGGTAAATATACCAAAAATCCTTCTCTCAAGTACCTCGATAGATTAGATAATGCATTTGTTTAGGCGTCAGAATAAAATAACAAATCAGATTATTTCAATTTATATATGTTTGTTTAATTCATTATTTTGAAAATTCAAAAGTAATAGTAATTATATGTTTCCGGCAACATTTGTTTAGGCGTCAGAATAAAATAACAAATCAGATTATTTC